ATACCATCTTTTAAGTGATAAAATAATCGAATTACCTGGACATGGACTACTATACATCATCGATTCTACTATATAATTTTGTTTCTTTTTAAATTCTAGCAAGTCCATGTTCGACAACAGTTAATTGTACTCAACTTAATGGGGCAGGCACTTGTAGCGCAATTGGTGGTGGAACTACAAACTATCATTGTGTTTCTTGTAAATACGGTTCAAATACATATAATAGTCCATGTCCAGGTAATTCGATTATTTTATCACTTAAAAGATGGTATTATCGTTTTATATTTGATAATTAAAGCGGATCCGTGTTTGTCAGCAACTCCTTGCACATCAAATAATAGCAGCGGTGTTTGTGTTGCATTTGGTGATGGAACTGCAAATTATCAATGTACAGGATGTACTTATAGTCCTAATGTAAACAATACTGCATGTCCAAGTAAGAAGTTCTAAACAATTTCTGACTCGAAATGATTTGTTTTTCTCGTCTTAATAGGTAATCCTTGTCTGACGGGTGCTAATTGTACTCAACTTGATAGTGTTGGTACTTGTGTTGCAGTTGGAAATGGAACTACGAGTTACCAATGTACCAATTGTGTTTATGGTTCAAATACTCTAAACAAACCATGTCCAGGTAAATGATTCTCTATTAGTAACATCTCAAATTCATTTCGATTTTCTCTAATAGCTAATCCATGTACTATGGTTAATTGTAATTCAGCAAATAGAGGTGGAACTTGTGTCCCTCTTCGTAATGGATTTTCTGATTATGCATGTGCTGGTTGCAATAATGGATCATCTGTATTAAATGGAATTTGTTAAAATAAATATGAGATAACAAAGCTAAAGAAAAACTAATTTATCAAATATTCTAATTTTTATCATTTATTTTTGCAATTCATTTGTTTAATAAAAATGTGATCTAATTGTATTTACTTTAAAACTGATTAATAAAATAATTGTGAAATTGTTTTCCTATAACACATATTTTATCATTTGTATTGTTTTCGATGATGACGAGTGAACTTGTAAGATTAGATAAAGATCAACAGAAAAGTTTCCACAGTGTATCGAACGAAATTATGATTAAGATATTTTCGATATACAGAAGAATTCATGTTGTTCATTTTCATATTGTTTGTGAATAAAATGAAAATTCGTTTTTAAAGAGGTTTTTTGATTGAATATGTTTATAATGAAACATTGAAAGAAGAGATGATAAAACATTAATTTAACTCGAAAATCATATTGAATATTTTCCCGATATAGTTCACATAGAATTGAATTTCATCGATGACACATCTACAATTTGTTCTTTTAATACAATTGAATGCAAATGTAACACTACTATCGACTTTCCCAAGGCTTATATAGATACACTGAGTTTTGGCAATGAAATATTCACTGGAGTACGAGAATTTCTATGTGATCACATTGAAGTTTATCGATTGATTTAACTAATATTACTCTATGCTAAACGCGTGCTCCAAGTATTGACTTCGTAGTGTGTAATAAAACGTCTTATTAGTTCTTACGAACAATTAGTTTTTATGTTCGATGTTCTTTTTTTCAAATATTACGAGATATTAAAAGAAGACTAAATATATCTATGTAGAGATGTGTATGGGTCAGTATTTAGCATACAAAAGTCTTCCCAAACACGATTGAACAATACAAAGTAAAGCCAAAAATAGACATTCGATCACCAGCTTAAGGGTGAGAGTGAGTAAATCTAAGATTCACTTCATCGCGATAGGAAGTATATTTCAAATGACCAAGTTGTTCTCTTGGATATGCGTAGTTCGTCACGAACACAACTACGTTTAAACGACCATCTTACAACAGAAATGTTTGCAAAGTGGAAATACTGAATGAGTATCGTGAACTGATTATGAAAATTGACGAACAACTGCGTTCATAGAAAATAGTGTGTGGTGTTGGAAGAAACCGCATGCGCAAAGTTACCAATCGGAGATAAGTTTTGACTAATTCCGTTATCAACAGTACAGGTATTGTAGATAACAGTTACCAAATAAAACATGGACGCGATGCGACAGAAAGTTAAGTATCATTTTCATCGAAGCAGTTGATATGGCTAGATATTCTGAACAGGCCGAACAAATGCGTCGAGACCTTAAAGACCCCGACGAACAGTTCGGTCTCATCATTCTTGGCAATTCCGGGGCTGGTAAAAGTTTCCTAGCCAACATTCTTCTCGGTCGTGAACAATTTGTTCACAAATTCAGTTCAAGCTCAATTACCCATGAAACGGAATTTGTTGAAATCAACATCGGCTATTACAAACTGACTATATTCAACATACCCGGTTTGATCGAAGCTTCACAAGAACGTATTGACTTGAACAAAAAAGAAATTGATCGAGCCTTTGCGCTACGACCTAATTCAATTATTGTATTCATATTTGGTCAACAGAATGGTCGCATCAAGGATGAAGATGTTACTGCATTCAATGCTATCAATACAGCATATCCGTTTAAACCCGAATCCTTAGTATTGGTCATCAACGGTATCCCGAAGAAACGACCAAGTGATTATGAGGGAGAGGCAATTGTTCTACTGCAACAACTGCTGAAAGGTGTTGTTGTCAATGACAAAAATCTTTGCTTTTTGGAATATATTGATGAAGATAATCAGAATGAGAGACAACATCTCAAGGAAAAGCTATTACAAGTAAGTTGAAGGTGTCGATGAAATCAAATTGTCAGGATCTTTTATTGATAAATTTAGATTATAGTCGAACATTCACCGTCGAAACACGAAAAGCAAGGAGAGATCGAGACAATTCTCGATCGTCTAAAAGGTGCACAGCGCGAAATTCGCACACAACACGACCAGTTCAGAAAGGAACGAGAGAACTTCCAGAAACAAATCGATGAAAGTCAACGTGTACTCAACGAAACAATAGCTAACCATCAGAGCGAAACCCAATCACTTCAGCGAGCAATCGAAAGGCAGGACCAAATCCTTGCTGAACAAAGGAAGAAGTTCGAAGAAGCAACCCAGAACTATCAAGATGAATTGCAACGTACACGAAGGGAAGCAGCAGAATCGCAACGGATATATGATATCTTAGTGGAAGATAGAAAAGCTACGCAGGAGCAAATACGAGCTGCACAAGAAGCCAACAATTTGCTTCAGGCTAAACTATTCGAGTTAGCGTCTCGACCTCCGGCGGAACCAAGAGAAGGCGATTGCGTCATTTTATAAATACTGTTCTCTACTGAATGTACAAAACAAAACGTATCTTTTTATTATTATTATTCATCTACACTAGAAATAAAAGAAAAGTTACATAACCGAGCCAGAACTAAATTTGTGGATGAAANCAGGCTAAACTATTCGAGTTAGCGTCTCGACCTCCGGCGGAACCAAGAGAAGGCGATTGCGTCATTTTATAAATACTGTTCTCTACTGAATGTACAAAACAAAACGTATCTTTTTATTATTATTATTCATCTACACTAGAAATAAAAGAAAAGTTACATAATCGAGCGGTTCACAATCACATTCTCAAAATTTTAGGAGAAAAGTTGACAATTTCCAACGTGAGAGATATATTTACATCTTGATAAGGTTTGACATACAGATAAAAAACAATAATAAAAACATGTCGTCTTCGTCATAAAAGAAGACACTCGCACACGGAAGATGCTAGCAAAAGTTGTTAATCCATCTATGATTGTGGACAAAGCAGAAGGCTCCGAGCGATGTGGTATCATTATATTGGGTAATTCAGGTGTGGGGAAAAGTTTTCTCGCAAATATACTCTTCGGTGATGAAGTTTTCATCCACAAATTTAGTTCTGGCTCGGTAACACATCATACCGAATTCATAGAAGTGGAATTGGCTGGTTGTGTTTGGACTATTTTCAACATTCCAGGTTTGATCGAAGCTGACCAAGATCGCATCGATTTGAATAAGAAAGAAATTGATAAAGCTTTTGCCATGCGACCGATTTCAATCATTATTTTTGTATTTGGTCAAACAGGTGGACGAATTTGTGATGAAGATGTTACCGCATTTAATGCTATTAATGCCGCTTATCCATTCAAACCGGAATCTTTGGTACTTGTAATCAATGGTATACCCGAAAAACGTCCCGCAGATTACGAAGGATCGGCTTGTCTTGTTCTTCACAAGCTTCTTAAACTTTCCAATTTTAACAATAGCATTCTGTGCTTTCTCAATAAGATCAATCCCAAAAATCAGGACCAACGACAACGCCTCAAGGAACAACTGTTAAAAGTAAACTTGAGATTTTTTATTGTTTATTTCGGCAGTGTAATGCATTTATTTAAGGTGTTGGTAGAATGCAAGCCATTGTTGCATCGCAAGGAACAAGAAATTCAAACATTGTTCGACGAATTGAGACAAAATGCAATACAAATGGAAGAATTGCAGAACGCGATTCTGGCGGAAAAAGAAAGATATAGTACTGAAGTCCAAGAAATTCAACGTGAATTTGATCGAACAATGGCGCAGCATCAAACTGAAATTCAATCTTTAGAGCGTGCTGCTCACCGGCTAGACGAATTGATTGCAGATCAAGAACGACGTTTCGAGGAAGAGTGTCGAAATTATGAAGCTCAGTTACAAAACTTACAAAGACAAACAAAAGAAGCTCACGAACATTACGATCAACTATGCAAAGATACAGCAACTGCTCAAAAACAACTCCGGTTAGCAGAACAGGCTCGATTAGAGACAGAAGCCAGACTTCAATCACTCATAAATCAACATGCCACCGCTTCCGTAGTAGTTCACAGAAGACGGAGAAGTGGTTGCACTATTTCTTAAAGCGTTATATTTATTAGTTTTCATTTAATGTTTTCCGTCGTCTAAATCTTTTTGTTTGTATCATTTTTTCTAAAGGAAACAAATAAAATTCAGAAGAGATTTCATCATTCCTTTTGCAAATGTTGCAGTGTGATGTGAGAACTTGAAGAGACTATCTAACACGTTTTACTCAGTTCTTTAGAGTAGTAGAGGATCAATCTCGACATTGTCTTTTCTCCAACTTGACCATGCATCTTGTTTCCAAACTGTTGATAAACCTAAAATGCATCATACAGTACTATCTGTGACAAAAATAGACCTTCCAACATAACACGTTCTTATCATTGTGTCTATCAAAGTCATATTCACACCACAAATGGAAAATACCAGCATATAAAACACATAAAAACAGCTTGCTCTTCACTGCTCTACCAAATTGGTATTACTATCATCTCATGTCTGACGTCTATCGACCTGGTCTTATTACCTTAGGTAATTCAGGTGTTGGTAAGAGCTTTCTGTGTGACATTCTTGTTGGTAGGGATGCATTTTCCCATCGATTCAACGCAATGTCAGTCACACAAGTGACCAATTCCATCGATGCTGCGATTGGGTCACATCAAATTACTGTTTTTGATATCCCAGGCTTAATTGAAGCTGAGCAACAACGTATTGAAGTCAATAAGAAGGAAATTGATAAAGCGTTCGCTCAACGACCAAACTGTATCATCATCTTTGTATTTGGTCCGGAGAATGGGCGCATTAAAAACAAAGATGTCGTAGCATTCAATGCCATTAACGAAGCATACGCATTTCGACCTGAGTCACTCATACTCGTTGTGAATGGAATTCCTAAGGATCGACCGGATGATTACGAACAAACAACGTTGACTCTTCTTCAAAAGTTACTCAAAGGTGTCAGTGTTAACAATGGAAATCTCTATTTCACGCAATTTATTGAAGTAAATGATGTGAATGAACGAAATAGATTGAGAAGCCGACTTGTCCCAGTAAGTTTTCGCTTCGAAGACTACTTTCAGTACTCTCACAACATCGCTACTCGATTCAAATTTTAGATCGTGTCCAACTACGTCCCACAGACGAACGGCAAGAAGCAAGATATCCCAACAACGCTCAGCGAGCTGAAGAGTAGAGAAGACGAAGTCAAAAAAGCACAAGCAGCGTTGGAAGCAGAGCGAAAAGAACATGAACAGCGTTTGGCCGAACAAAGGCGCGTAGCTGCTGCAAACGAAGCTGAAGCAAAAAGGAAAAAAGAAGAAATGAAGAGATTAGAGCGGGAACAACAAAGAATACTTGCCGAGCAACAGCTGGAAAAAGAAAGACAACTTGTTGAACAAAAACGTATATTGGAAATAGAACGCAAGGCCAAAAAGGAAGCAGAAAGACGCGCTGCTCAAGTACGAAGAGATCAAGAAATTGCTCAACGGAAAAAGCAGGCAGCAGAACAGGCTCGACTAAAGAAGGAAGCTGAACTTCAGGCACGCAGAAATCGAGTTGTGCCTTCTTGGCAACAGGATACCGATACCGATAGCGACTGTGTCATTTCCTGAAATATTATCTTCGTTGTTGTGATGTATGTTTCATGTTGTCTAAATTTTCATAGACATTCTTTAACGGAGAAGCAAGTATTAAAAATTCAGAAATCATCCACGAGTTCTCATTAGGATACAATTCGACTTCGAGGAACTAGAACTCTTGGACAATCATTTCAATAGTTCAGTTAATAAAGATACATTCGCACATTCCCACTAGAATTCAATATACTTTTTAAACAAATCGAATAAAAATAGCGTAGAGAAAAAGTTCAATGATGATAGCACTGGCAGTCATTCTGGGACATATATATAACATGTGGAGACTTATGCGGCCAAGGTAAGTTGAGTTGACTGTGTGTCCATTTCAAAATTTTTGCCGGTCGGCCTACCGCTCTGCCGTTCAGCCTTCCTGCCACTGAGCCGTTCTGCCGCGGCATAAGCAATGTATTTTGCCTAGTTTTGCCGCGGCAGAGCGTCCGGCCGGCCGAGCGGCAGGACGGCAGACCGGCTGAACGGCAGAGCGGCAGGCCGACCGGCAAAAATTTTGAAATGCTCCCTAGAAGAAAATTTATTTTACGTATTGTTTTATTTAATTTAGCACAAAAACTTAAACCATGTGCTGAATGGTCAACCCAGGTCAACAAATCCGATGCTGGATCCGATCGGATTCCGGGAAACGGAATTGCATTGGAATCCGACTAGAAAAATCCCGTCGGTTGTTGCAAATTTTATGAGCGATCTTTCTAGCTATATTCTATGATGACCCTTAGAAAATCC